TTAAATGTCAGATTAGCGGAAATCGCAATGAAGTCTTTAGCCAAATTATTACCGCTAATCTGATATTTAAAAAAGTGAGGTAGAGGGTGTAGTGCTTATTCACGATAGGATACGGTACTAATACTGTAATACTTCAATGCTACGTCTAAACTATAATTCAGATTTATTATTAAATACATCATTAATTAATAAACAATCATTATGCCCACAGCTATATTTATACAAATAAACCTTACAGGAAGAGGTATTATATAAAGATAATTTCCACAAAATCAATGCTTATTGTAAAATACGATAAATGTTTCCGAGTTTAAATGGACTTCAAATAATAAATGATTATCCACTAAATTTACGTGTTTATATTTCAGTTTTTTTTTTCTTCAACGTTAGTAATAGTCTTGATCGAATAATAATTGAAAAATGATTGTTATGAAAATCAATTTCTTATTAAAAGACTCATTTGACATAACCGTAACTTTATAACAAGTGTCAGTTATTATGACCTACGTCGTTATGACACTTTCGACGTGACGACACGTCAATTAGACGTCTTCAAATGTCTGCATCTATACTAAAGACACCGCAAAAATACTGTACACATCGTTGCTCACTCTTAATACTTCTAAAACTAAGCACAACGTTCAGTTTGATAGTTTTACTTAATAATTTTTAGTTTTTTTTTTTATTGAACAGATATAATTTTAAATAAGGAATTTTAAACATTAAGAAAAAAAACTTTTTCGGCAAATTGCGTTCACACCACAGTTGCCTAATCGTTTACATCATCTTCTACTCCTACTTCGGTAAAAATACAATTATTCTCTGATCCGTGAGATAGAAAGGAAGTGTCTCCATTCAATTCAAGTACCCAGCCTTCTTTGCTTCTTATACATTTTGTTAAAGAACACGTAGAACAATTTATTACAGCGTTTCTTTGTTTAATTAAAGCTTTCACTCCAGCGACTAATGATGCTGCATGCACAATTATCAAAACGCATTTGAGATCCTCTCCTGCATCTATTAAACTTTGCATAGTTCTATCCAGCCTCTTGTGAAGTTCTTGGAAAGTTTCCCCATCATTAGGCAGCTTTGTTATAGGAATATATGTGGGATTGATACGTGGAAAGAATTCATGTAAAACAGAAAGGGGCGCACAACTAGGATAAGTTCTTGCCTCGAAGGGGTCATACCATTCGCTATTATTTAATAACAGCTGATCAATTATTTCAAATAGGCAACAATTTTTAGGTTTATTAACATCAAAAAAATAAATCGACAAACCTTAAACCATACTCGATAGAGATTTCTAAATCTAATTTATCCGCAATTATGCTTGCAGTTTGTAGTGTACGATAAAGAGGACTAGAATAGATACGATCAATCTTTATATTGTTTTTCACAAAATATTGACTAAGCTCTAGAGCTTGATTGCATCCATGTTCACTTAATCTAGGATCCCAAGGTAAATTAGTCGGATAAGTCGCTTCAATATTAATTGGCGTAATCCAATCCATTCGATGGCCATGCTTAATAAGGAAATATCAATGGCCTTAATAAAATATGTTATATATTTTATAATGGAATCATTTTCTTACCCGTGCAAAGTATATCGTTTCTAACATTTTCTACTGCAATGAGTTCAAGGAGAAAAAAAATCGATGTAACACTTTTGTGATATAATGTTTATATTTATACGTATTCAAGCTTAACCATAGGTGGTTAAATATTAATATTAAGCAATTTCTGGAAATACCGGGTTCAGATTAAAAAAGATTAGATGATTGGCAGAAAATCATTAATACGTTTAGTACTCTATATATAAGTTGATTCGGGCTGATACCTAATTTATACGTTATAAAGTATATATATTTTATATTTAATTAAAGTACGTAATAATACGTAAAAAAAAAATTTTTTATATAAATTGTTTCGTTGGTGCTACTAAAACGCCACCTTTAAATTTAAAAAAGGCTAGTTGCCAACTTTTAAAATGAGCCAAAAGAACACGGTAGGATCTATTATACGAATAACCTAATTTGTCTAGGCCATGGCGGCAAATTCCGGTCACGGTACTATTAAAACAGAGACCCGTACTATCAATCGGATTAAGAAGATTATTTTCAATTGGATCAATTGGTCCAATTGTTTATTGACAACATTGCGTGCCAGCCTATTAATTGATCACGGCTTGATTTATATACGTTATAAGTGGATAAAACAATTGTAGATTCAGAATCAATGTAAGTTGGATTCGGATCTTAAAAAACCTTGAGTGATTACGGGATTTTATGCGACCATATTAGTAATATAAAATACACTTAACGTGATCGTATTAAATTTAATATGATCTTTTATTTTAATGAATTATTTCATTTCTAAAACTTTTTTAAGATGTTAATCTAAGAATATCCTTTGTTTCTAGTCTTTAACGATTTGGTTAATAAATATCTTGAATGAAAATCTTTATTTTTATTTCACAAAACGACTATTACTTATCATCGCGGCACTTCATTATCCCATTACAGTAATATAAACTTAGTCGATAACCAATCCAATGATCAAATAATTACAGACACAAAATGAGAACGAATAGTCTCTTATCAAGGATGAAAATAGATCGTGAAAAAAGATAACCAAGACATGTATTTTCAAAATGAATCATGACATGCAAAAATGAAATTCTCGGTATTATCTATGGTGTGAATGAATTTTTATGGCACTTGTGCTAATCGAATTTAACGACTTGAAGTATGCCAAGATAAAAGTTGATAATGAATTACATTCATCGTGACTAGTACAGTAGTATGAAGTGCAAACTATAAATGCGAGTATCGTCCAAGACAACGTATTACATTATATTTTTATTATTAAAAATATATAATTAAATTTATTTTGCTTGTTCGCTTTAAATGTTTAATTCTACTTGTCGTTTTAAGATCCAAATTTCACTTGTGAATTCCGGATCTACAAATATTCTACAGCATATTTTTTACGTGAAATATTCATGTGACTTCTGAAGCCCCAAAAGAAGTAAGCGAAGAATTCAAAAACGAATGTTGACAGTAAACTCTTGAATGGGTGATTCAGTTTGACATTACGACGGATTTGTCAAATTTAACTAATTATTGGTCCTCAAATTTAAGTTTACTATTTATTTTTTAACGGAAAAAAATTATTAGCCTCCGATCTATAATAACAATGCGTCTAACCCATTTTCCATTAGCGCAACCCATTTTAAATTTCTGTACAATTCAGATAACCCATTTTAAATTTATCGTTACGTATACGAACGTACAGTTTAATAATTTGCAATGACCGTCAGTTAACATTGACAGTATTTTATGGATAACAGAAAATTTAAAAAGTATATCATCGTTAGATCACATTACATATATGTGAAGTCAATTAAATGACTCACAATCTATGGTCAAAATTTTCAAACTTTGGGGTATTTTACAATCCGCCGTAATGATGATACGTAACACTATGCCCTTAGTTCAATTTACATATGATCTGCTTAAAAAGTGCATTTGTCAGAAGTTCGTAGGTAAATTTACCTGAAACGTTACGGGGTAAATTGTATGGCTTATAAAATGTATACTAAAGTGAAGAATTATACAATAGCCAGAGTAGAGATGGGTACGTGCGCATTATGCTCATACCTGTGTGCAATCATGCATGCGCATGGTGTCTGCGATCTTGATATAGTGTAAGTGTTTATTAATAGGGATGTTGATGTTAAAAGTCCTGTCCGGTCCGAGACTCCAAAGAGTCGAGTTTTTATTAAAATCCGGTTCCAAGTCAAACTTGGGACTCGACTCGCATTGCACGTACATCTTGTATATTAAATATAGAACTGTGTACGCATGCAAAGTATGCACGAATACACTTTCTTTTTTTTTGCTATATTTAAATGTTCAAGATGCACGTGCAATGCGAGTTGAACCCCAAGCTTGACTTGGGACTGGACTTTAACAAAAACTCGACTCTATGGAGTCGAGTTGGACCGGACCGGACTTCAGCTTTTTTCATAAATTCCGGAACAACTGAAAAAATTAGATGGCCGAATCGATAAGTTACCGAGTTCGGTCTAACTCGGAAACTTATCGATTCGGTCATCATTTGTTCCAGAATTTATGAAAACAGCTGTAACTATCGTAAACTGTTGACTCTTACCCGGTGATATTTAGTGGCTTAATTTTGATTTATACCCGGGTACTATACATTGTATACTTCGAAGAGAAGTGCCGGGGATATGCATGTACGCACATACATATGGGTTGTTGCATAGCAAAACCATGATTAGAGTATATATATTTTATATGTTCTAAGCATGGTTTAGCTGTGCGACAACCCATATGTATATAGCAGTTCGAACAATGTACCCCCTGTTCAATACCCCGGGTACAGTACTAGTCAATGTAAATACCCAAATACAAAACTTAGCAGTTTACGATATTTATTAATGACCCGTAGGTTACAAAAGCGAAAATACAACTTTTATAAGGCCGCTTGAAGTTAAACTTTCGTTTAATGTTATCCACCCCCCTCCGTCTCCTGAGCTCCCCAAAATTAAACAAATGGAAGTGATAAATTAGTTGGTATAATGGCCGGCACGGTGATCGGTACACTATATGTTTATTTTTATGCTTGTTTAATTCCCCCCCTCCCACCGTGAATACCAAAAAATAACGTTAAACGAAATTTTAATTGCAAGTATTACATAGTTGAAAATTTGTTTGTTATAACTTTATATTTTAAAAATAACGTTAAACGAAGTTGTAATTTCAAACAACCTAATTTTACATCAGTACGGGCACGGGTCTTGGATTGACAACTCTCACGGTCCAACTCTTAAGGTTTTAGCAGATTATCCTTAAGAAAGAAATACCCCTAACGCTTAATTTCTTTTCTGTTTCCGGGGAATGTTCTCTGCAAACGTTCTTTTTTCGCGTCTGTGTTACAGCCACTAGAACATTCCATCGATGATCCTTATAATAATCGAAGTTTCCAAATGTTGATCATCACCATGAAAGATCATCGTAGGTGTACCAATCAGACTAATCAAGACAATCAAATGTGCGCAATATTTTTAAAATAATAAACCCTTACTAGAGTTTTGCAAGGAAGGTGATTTAATAGTAGGGATGTTATAGTTCAGTCTATTTCGGTCTGGTTCATAAAAGACCGGTTATACATTTTAGCTGTTAATTTGTGGACCGGACCGGACTAAGGACCATAATTGGACTGTTATTAGAACCAACAAGATTAATTCGATTCATGTACAATTTTAGTTTAAAAAAAATTACAATAGGGTGATTCAGAATTAATGTTCAGGTTTCTGATTTCGAATTAAATTAGTGATGTAATTGCTTTGAAATAAGGGATAGAAATGGGAATTTTTAAACTCTCATTATTTTAGAAATAAGTTAATATCATCCTAATATAACCGATTGAGTTCATATATATTAAATAGCACATTTATTTTAATTATTGTTGCCAATATGCATATTTACTATAATGACAAATATATAATTATTTTTACTATTTTATAGTTGACATTTAATTAGCCATATTTTATCGTTGAGTCCAACTCAATTTGTATACTTATTGTTCACCGGTTCCATTTTGAATCCAACTAAAAGAATTCTATTTCCTGTGTTTGAAATAATATGACCGGCCATCGAAAAGAAAATGTAAAATAATTTCAAGAAATTGAAATTATATAATCAAACGTCTCATTTTGAGGTATTTTATAAGCAAATGAATCAAAACAAAATACGTATTTAGCTTTTAAGTTAATAATAAAATATTATGCAGTCAGATTATTAACGCAATTAACTTTTGAATCAATTATAAAATCAATCATATCCAAAAAATATTCTGACGGTTTTTTAACCCGAATTTGAACTTGAACTACAGTCGTCCTCCCATACAATCACACAGTTGGGCACATAGTAAATTTTTTAAAAAATGTGCTTATAAAGGGTTGTGCTTATATGGAGGTTTTTTTCTTATAAATTAAATCATAGTTTGGCCTAAATAAAAATGTGATTACATATTATGTGATTATATGGGAGATGACTATATGGAGGGATGACTGTATATTTAACTAGAACCGTACTTTACCAGGACCATAATTAACCGGAACCACTATCTGAACCAAGACTTAACAGTTATTTTTGAAACTATAACATCCCTATTTCATAGACAAAATTTTGATTTATCAGCAGCTTTTAAAAAAAACGTGAATTTAATATTACACCTGATCCGGAGATCTTATTGGGTCGATTGTTAGAAGAGATCTGATTTGTGCACCTGCGACGATTTTTCATGGTTCTACTGGGATCTTTATTATAGGCCCCCACCATAAAGATATCCATTTTATATTCTTGCGACCCCGTTTTTTTTTATAATTAAATGAATAAGTTTTGCGGGCGCCTTTAAGCTTAATTTGGTTTATATTTCTATATACATTGCGAAGAACAGTGACATTTTTTCTTAAAGCCGAAAA